TGGATGGGGGATGGGGACTCATTGTTGGGAGCGCTCCATTTGCCTCCCACTCCCTTGTTCTTTCAAACTTCTAGCTGACTTCAAACCTCAGGCCCCCACATGCACCTGCTGGTTTCAACAGTGATCAGCCTTCTTCCATTCCTCTTTCGTGCCCTCTCAATTGGTTTCTTTGTCCTGAATCTTAAAAATCCAACCCCAGATACCATATTGCCTGCCAAATACTGCAGCACCCCTTATAGTAAGAGATCAACCTCCCCCACTCCCAACAACCCGATTCCAACTCCCAGCGATGCTATAGTGCAGAGGACTGTGCCCCAGGGTTTCCGAGGCTGTCAGTTTTCACGGGAGCAGACAGCTGCAATGTTCTCCCTAGTAGGAGTAACCGGTAGGTTCAAACTGCCAACGTTGGGGTTAGCAGGCCAATGCGTAACCCACTAGGATGCTCTTTACTGACGGAGAAGAACACCTTAAAAAACATCACCACTTTATTTTAAAAAACAGAATGCAGTGTTTCCCAAGGTGGGTGATACCGCCCCCCTGGGGGCACTGGAAGGATCCAGGTGGTCTGCAAAAGCCCTTAGGGGCTACAGTACAAATATTTTTAAAGGCTAGGGGACACTGCGTGATTTTTTATTTATTTTCTGAAAAGGGGGCAGTAGGCCAAATGAGGTGGGGAACCTCTCATCTAAAGAATGAATACACTCTTAATATTGTTGAATGGGCAGTTATTTTCCAGCTCTCTCGGTTGTCTTAGAACTGTCTCTTTAACGGTTGGTTGGTGTGTTAGGTCCCTAACAGGCTGTGGGCGGATTGTCACTGGCTGAACCATCTCTTGAGTACATTCTCCTCCCAGATGGTCCAGCTGGGTCGGGCTGTGTCCCCTATGGGCCTGGGACTGACTTCCGTGCCCCCAGGGCCACCCGCCTGGAGATGGCTTGCATCCATTCCTTCACCAACTGTCGACTTCATGAGAGTGGGCTGGACAAGGTCGGCTCTCAGGCAGGGGTCTGCCACCCTTGCCAGCCTCGGTTTCCCTGCCGGTGGTTGGGCTCAGACCCTGCCTTGTTCTCTCAGGAACAGAGGCGGCTTAGGCAGGAGCGAGACCGTGTGGACAGTCTTCGGCAGAGACTCCGGGAGGCCCAGGGACAGCTCGACTCACAGCCAGAGGGCCAGCGAGAACAGCTTCTGCAGCGGGTGCAGGAGGTGAGGGCTACCTGACCTGTCAGCTCGACCTGGTGCCCAGCATCCAGGAACCCAACCCCCTGTTCCATTCTCCTCAGACCCTGGTCCCTTTTCTCCTCAGACCCAGGAGTCTAGGCCCCCAGCCCCCTCCTCCCTCAGACCCAGGAGTCCAGCCCCCTTCTCTCTCAGACCCAGGAGTCCAGCCCCC